TTAGATTAAGATCTGCTTCATACTCAGTTGTAAATCTGTCAGACTTTAACAAAATTTGTCTAAATTTGATGCCCAGGATTCTAGGTGCTGGGGTAACATATATATTAGCTGTTGCACATACTTTTATAAATAAGAAACAGCCTAAATTGCTTTTAATTGTGTGTATAACCTGCTTTATAAATGTCCACCTTTAACTATTTTTTCACAATAACTACAGACACTTGTGTTTCACTCACAGAGTACCCCAAAGCTCTCTATCAAATCAGGCACTCCGTCTTCAAAGAGCAGCACACATGCTCAGTTATCCAAGAGGAGCCTAGAACCTGCACAGAATGCTCAAGTAGAAGCGCTTACAGAGGAAATCAAAGCACTTAGACTTACGATTGACATACTTAAACATAAGCACATGTGAGTTATCTTTTTTTTCAATTTATAGTTATAATATTACAACAGAAATTCTTTTATATCACTCTATATCACTGTGGAATCTTGTCACAAACCACATGTGTTATACAATTAACATGCAAAAAAAAAAAACGCACGCACACGCCAAAAAATTAGTACATGCAAAAAATAAAAAAAAAATATTTCCTGACTCTCAACCTGAGAATCATTCATGAACTCCTAAAAATATTACACTTATATTCAAATTAACCCATAATTCTAACCTTTTATCTGTATCTAATCTTCAAAGTTAACCGTCAAAGCCTAGCTCCAGGGTGAGGTTTTCCCAGAGCCCCCCCCCCCAATGCCTGTTATTATTTTAAACATTTTAATATGCATAACGTTTTCTCTATAGTTCTGTCCGTTACCATAATGTCAGGTGTCCTCCGGCTTTGTGCAGGTCCTGAATGCTAAAGAGACCCAGACACTTGTGAACAAGCACTCCTGGCTTTGTATTTTACCCACAAATGCTCAGTCCACTCTCTTTCACTTTTGCAGAGTGCTGAGCTGCAGGAAAGAACGTATTGCACATCAATGGGTAGAGAAGGCAGCTGGGTGTGCTTGTTTGTGAGTTTCTGGGGCCACACATCCAACACTCTGTACGTCCTGTCATCTGCAGGACGGAGAGGAGAGACCAATAATATGAACATCTGAAAAAGTAAGAATTTTTTTCAAAATGGAGCACAGCATTTTAATGCATTAAGGACACTCTAAGGCCTAATGCTCACAGGGCGTTTCTTTTTTTTTTTTTCTCCCCTGGATAGTTTTGCTCCAGGGGAGGAAAAAGCTTTAAAAAAACGAGCCTAAGCTCGCATTTTACAAATGCGTTTAGGTGCATTTAGATGCGTTTGGGTGCATCAAGCATTTGGGCGTTCATTCATTCCAGCGACCAGAATATGATTGTATGAACGCACAAGCGCAAAACGCACCTAGTGTTTAGGCCTGTTTACATGCGTTTTGCTGCAATCATTGTTTTTTTTGGCCAAGCGCTCCTCTCTTGAACATCCTAGTGGTCAGCCTCTAAGGCCCCATGTACACGGGACTCTTCTGAATGATGGAAACTGACTGCTGAAAAACATAGGTTAAAAAATGTCTGTTTAGCCGCATTGCAAACTTACTTATACAGGTTTATGTGCGTTTAGAAGTGTTTTTTAAAGATAAGCACATGAGAACCTCACAAATGCCCAGAATGCACTGAAAAGTGGTAAATTATTAACTTTTTCAGACTGTTTTAGAGAAATACAGAGAGAAGAAGCAGAGATAGCAGTATGTGTTGAGATTAGCTTAGGTGTGAGATGCTCATTAACATTTCTTTTGTTTCTAAGGGTGGGAAAAGTGTCTAGTGGAGTGAGTCATTAAGGCCACCTGGCAGAGGGTCTTCATGAGGAATTTGAGGTGTGAATGGTCATTAACATATCTTTAGTTTGCAAGGGTGGGAGAGTTCTGAGGTGTGAATTGGTCATTACAATGTGTGACAAGCTTGGTAGGAACATCCTGTGTTCAGTGTTTTGTTCATTTGGGTACCTTGAAAATGCTTTGCATGTATTCTTCATGATGAAAATAGGCTCTGGACAGCATCGGGAACTGGAAGAGTTAAAAAAAAATTCCAAATGCTTATAAACGCGATTTTCCGCGTTTAGCCACATTTAAAAGCGTTTTGCATTTGAAACGCTGATAAAATCGACTGCTGATCCCAAGTTTTCTGCATTCAAAAAAACGACTGTAAACTCAAATGCCTGTAAACGACTGTAAACGAAGATGTGTACATGGACACATAGGAAAACATTAGAGTGAGTTCAGGGGCTGCTTAAAAAACGCTGAACAGCTACTAAATGTGAGTTTATCTGCTGCAGTGTACATGAGCCCTAAACGCCTCTAAACGCTCTTCTTCTAATACGCCTGTAAACACTTACTTGTGCATGGCTACTTAGGCTAACATAGAGGCGCATTTAGAGGCTGAGAAAAAAATATCACGTCATAGCTGTGTTTTTTTACATCCTCTGCATACAGAGGTTTTGGGAAAAATAGGTAAAATTACACTAATCCTTTAATAATTTCATTCTGACAATTTCTGCAGACATTTTTCAGTTATATGCTGATATAGCACCTTGTGCATAAGTTATTAATACTTATACTAAACTATGACTAAAACATTGTTATGAAGTCCCAGTGAATGTGCATTGATTGTAAAAGTTCGTAAATGACTGTTCTGAGTGTGAGTGCGTAGACACTGTTTTTTGTTCCAGGAATTTATTATTTCTTGGACATCAACTTTTACAATAAAAAAATGCAACAATATTGACCTTCAGAAATGACATTATACCTTTATACAGAAATGAACTAAGATTGAGACTGTTCCTGCTTTTTTTACAGGACAGATATGCAAGATATTAGATCAGAAATATGTGAAGAGAGAGTGAAGCGACTAACACTGCAGGTAAGAGATAAGATGCTGTGGGGTTGATTTACAAAAACTGGTGTACTCAGAATCTGGTGCAGCTGTGCATGGTAGTCAATCAGCTTCTAAAACTGGCCATACATTATACAATTTTTCTTGAGAATTTTGCTTTAGATTTACCAAAAACCATATAATATGAGATCAAACCTAAAAAACACTTTCAATTGTATCCAATTAGGCAGGCCCTTGCATTACATAATTGAAGGTAAATCTAAAAGAAATTGGGCAGAAATTGGACAGAAAATTGTATAGTGTATGGCCAGTCTTACTTCAGCTTGTTCAATTAAGCGTTGAAAAAAAACCCCCTGAAAGCTGAGTGTTTTCTTTACGCAGCTGCACCAGAATTTGCACTATGCAGGTTTGGTAAATAATCCCCTGTATTTTTCTATGTCATGGACAGCACAGTGGTTAACCAAAAGAAATGGAAGTCCACTAAAAAAATTAAAACCTATTGTATGACTGCTATAATTATTAATTATACTGAGAAACTTATAGGCTATTGTGACATTAATAGCTTCCCCAAGAATGGTCTGGACAGTCTGGAAACTCATGTGGGCGACTTGTGGCTGGAACGCCAAAGAAGAATAGGCAACTGGCATGTGGAGGCAAATCCAATACTGAACACTGAATAGAATGAGCCCTTGCATGTGTTTAATGATGGTGAATGCTTTCCAAATGATTCTAAACCACTCTTAGTTCTTACTTTTTAAGGTTTGGACAGAGCGAAACCACACCTAGATATATAATGGGATATGCAAGAACTATGATGTTAAGATTCAAACAAAGCAAAAGTGTTCATTTTCCCCTGTATTTTACACTGAATTTGTACATATTCTCTGTTTTATACAAATGTAGCTTAAAGCCAAGTTGAAGATTTGTATATTATTACTGTGATGCAGTCAGGTTGCATCACAGTAATAATATACAAAAATAAAAGTGTGAGATTTTCTGATTACTATTTTCTGCGGCCAGAGGCGTATTTGCTGCAAGGCAAACTAGGCATTTGTCTAGGGCGGCACTTTTCAGGGGGGCTGCACGGCGGCAGTGCTGCCCCCCCCCTTTCCACGGAAGGGACACTTCCGTGGGAAAGGGACAGGGGCAGGGCCGCCATGGCTGAGGGACCGGCTGCAGAGGAGAGCGGAGTGGTGGGCGGATCCCCGGTGTGCGCTCAGAGCGCGTGAGGGGCAGGGCCCGCTGTCAGTGTTGCGGGATCTGCAGGAAGTCCAGAAGGTGCCAGCGAAGGAGGAAGCAGAAGCGGACGAGGTCAGGGGGGGGGAGCCGGCCCGCTCCTTTGCAGCTGCCGCCGGAGATCGTGGGGGAGAAGGGACACAGGCACCTGTCCTGGAATGATCCTGACACCATCTGGAGGAGCCACTGCTGGACAGGTAAGTGCTTGGAGGACTGGTGCTCCCCCTGTCCTGTCTCACTGTCCCCTGATACACTGCCCCCCACCTGTTCTACTTCCCTCCCCCGTCCCATTGCCCCCCATCCATCACACTGCCCCCACATGTCACCCTGCCCCACACCTGTTCCACTTCCCCTCCTGTCCCCCACATTGTCCCACTACCACCCATCTGTCCCCACTGCCCCCCTACCTGTCCCTCTGCGCTCCTCCTGTCCATCTGCCCCTCACCTGTCTCTCTGTGCTTCTCCTGTCCATCTGCCCCTCACCTGTCACTCTATGTTTCTCCTGTGCAGCTGCCCCGATCCTGTCCCATGCCCCCTGTCACGCTGCCCCCCACCTATCCTCTGTGCTCCTCCTGTCCCACTGCCCCTCATCTGTCCCACTGCGCTTCTCCTGTCCCACTGTGCTTCTCCTGTCCCACTGCCCCTCACCTGTCCCACTGTGCTACTCCTGTCCCGCTGCCCTGATCCTGTCCCATGCCCCCCGTCACGCTGCCCCCCATCTGTTCCTCTGCACTCCTCCTGTACCCCCTGCACAGTGATCCAACCAACAGTGCAGCTTAACCGCCTCCTGTCCGCCATATAGTGCAATGACGGGCGCAAGGCGGTTCTCTTATTCTATGACGTCTTGTGTCCTTCGGACACAGCGGATCACTGATCAACGGAAAGAGCCGCAGATATCGGCTCGGTCATGTGATCAGCTGTGTCCAATCACAGCTGTTCACATGTAAACAGGGAAATGCCGGTTATCTGCATTTCTCTCCTCATGAGCTGTCACGCTGACAGCTCGAGAGGAGAGCAGAGCCAGTAATCGGCATTCCTCAGAGGGGACATGTACACTGATCATCAGAGCACTGATGATCAGTGTGCCCTGATGATCTGTGTAGCCCCAGCAGTGCCACCTGTCAGTGTCCATCAGTGCCAGCTGTCAGTGCTTATCCATGCCACCTGCCAGTGCCCATCAGTGCCACATCAATTCCACATATCAGTGCCTACCAGTGCACATCAATGCCACATATCAGTGCCCATCTGAGCTGCCTTTCAGTGTCACCCATCAGTGCCAGTCAGTGCCACCTATCAATGTCAGTCAGTGTCACCTATCAGTGCTGCCAATCAGTGCCACCTATCAGTGCCAGTCAGTGCCACCTATCAGTGCCAGTCAGTGCCAACTATCAGTGTGCATCAGTGAAGCCAATCAGTGCCTGTCAGTGCTGCCAAACAGTGCCGCCTAACAGTGCCACCTATCAGTGCCAGCCAGTGCCACCTATCAGTGCCAGTCAAGGCCGCCTATCAGTGCCACCTATCAGTGCCGCCCATCCGTGCCACCTATCAGTGTCCATCAGTGCCCATCACTACAGCCTCATTAGAAGGAGAAAAATCACTTATTTACAAAATTTTATAACAAAAACTAAGAAAAAAACGGTTTTTTTTTTTCAAAATTTTCAGTGGTTTTTGGTTTGTTTAAGAAAAAAAAAAACCCCAGAGGTGATTAAATACCACCAAAATAAAGCTCTATCTGTCACAAAAAAATTATAAAACTTTCATATGGGTACAGTGTTGCATGACCGTGCAATTGTCATTCAAAGTGTGACAGCACTGAAAGCTGGAAATTGGCCTGGGCAGGAAGGGGATATAAGTGCCCTGTAGGCTAGTGGTTAAAGGTAATAAAATAAAAACAGACCAGGCCCAAGGTGACCTTAAAGTGATTCTAAAGGTAATTTTATTTTTTTGTAAAATAACAAACATGTTAACACATACTTACCTGCTGTGTGCAGTGGTTTTGCACAGAGCAGCCTGGATCCTCCTCTTCTCAGGTCCCAAGCAGGCTCTCCTGGCTCCTCTTTTCTGTCAGGTGCCCCCACAGCAAGCAGCTTGGTATGGAGACACCCATTCACACAAGGAGCCGAGTCGTGGCCCTGCCCCCTCTCTCTCTCCTCATTGACTGACTGGCTGTGATTGACAGCAGCGGAAGCCAATGGCTCCCACTTGCCGTCCCAGCCTGGGCAGAGACCCAGGACAGTTGAGGCTGTCGTGCACATTGCTGGATCTCGATGGGGCTCAGGTAAGTATTGAGGGGGCTAGGGGCACTGCTGCACACTGAAGGTTTTTTACCTTCATGCATAGAATGCATGAAGGTGAAAAACCTTGAGGCTTTTAGAACCACTTTAATCTGCCACTGCATGCAATGCTCCTTCACTGGTCCTTTGGATACATTTTCTAGGACAGTCTGGTTTAAATAGTGGTGTTTTTGTAGTTTTCAGTGATATTCTGAATTATATGTGTCAGATTTAGCCAGACTTTACTCAATCTCCCCTGTGCCCAAAAAAACATATTTTTGTAGGATTATCTATATAGATATTTCTACATCGCCATAAACATATACAGTATACCATAATGAAGTATAGTAACTCTGAACTATCCATGCTTTATATTAATGTTAAAGCCTTTATACAGCCCCCCACCTGGCAGAACCAGATATACATGATTTGGCTCACATTATTTATTTATTTATTTATTTATCGAGTTTATATAGCGCCAAAGGGTTTGCTCAGCGCTGTACAATAGAGGGGGGGACAATACAAGAAACAGTACAGTAACATCAAACAGTACACAAGGGTAAGAGGGCCCTACTCTTTTCGAGCTTACAATCTAGGAGACATTACTGCTAGTTGTCATTTTCCAGGCAGCTGTATTGTGCTTCACCAATGCAATGAGGTCACCGTGACACAACACCAACTGTTCTAGCTTTCTTAGGATGGAAATAAAGACACTCAAGCAGCATATAGAGCCTTAATCTCAGTGGAGCACTACAAAACACATAACATATTTAACAAGATCCTGTGAGCTCAGGTCACTAAAGCTGAACTCTTGGCAAACACCTGAATAAGCACGTGAAATACATACAGGTGAAACTAAAAAAATTAGAATATTGTGCAAAAGTTCATTTATTTCAATAATGCAACTTAAAAGGTGAAACTAATAGATGAGATGGACTCATTACATGCAAAGCAAGATAGTTCAAGCCGTGATTTTTCATAATTGTGATGATTATGGCTTACAGCTCATGAAAACCCCAAATCCACAATCTCAGAAAATTAGAATATTGTGAAAAGGTGCAAAATTCTAGACTCAAAGTGTCCCACTCTAATCAGCTAATTAAGCCATAACACCTGCAAAGGGTTCCTGATCCTTTAAATATTCTCTCAGTCTGGTTCAGTAGGAATCACAATGATGGGAAAGACTGCTGACCTGACAGTTGTGCAGAAAACCATCATTGACACCCTCCATAAGGAGGGAAAGCCTCAAAAGGCAATTGCAAAAGTAGATGGATGTTCCCAAAGTGCTGTATCAAAGCACATTAATAGAAAGTTATGTGGAAGGGAAAAGTGTGGAAGAAAAAGGTGCACAAGCAGCAGGGATTACCGAAGCCTGGAGAGGATTGTCAGGAAAAGGCAATTCAAAAGTGTTGGGGACTTTCACAAGGAGTGGACTGAGGCTGGAGTCAGTGCATCAAGAGCCACCACACACAGACGGATCCTGGACATGGGCTTCAAATGTCATATTCCTCTTGTCAAGCCGCTCCTGAACAACAAACAACGTCAGAAGTGTCTTACCTGGGCTAAAGAAAAACAGACCTGGTCTGTTGCTCAGTGGTCCAAAGTCCTCTTTTCTGAAAAGAGCAACTTTTGCATCTCATTTGGAAACCAAGGACCCAGAGTATGGAGTAAGAATGGAGAGGCACACACTGCAAGATGCTTGAAGTCCAGTGTGAAGTTTCCACAGTCTGTGTTGATTTGGGGAGCCATGTCATCTGCTGGTGTTGGTCCACTGTGCTTCATTAAGTCCAGGGGGTCAACGCAGCCGTCTACCAGGAGATTTTGGGGCACTTCATGCTTCCTTCCACAGGCAAGCTTTATGGGGATGCTGACTTCATTTTCCAGCAGGACTTGGCACCTGCCCACACTCTCAAAAGCACCAAAACCTGGTTCAATGACCGTGGGATTACTGTGCTTGATTGACCAGCAAACTCGCCTGACCTGAACCCCATAGAGAATCTATGGGGCATTACCAAGAGAAAGATGAGAGGCATGAGACCGAACAATGAAGAAGAGCTGTAGGCCGCTATTGAAGCATCCTGGTCTTCCATAACACCTCAGCAGTACCACAGGCTGATAGCTTCCTTGCCACGCCGCATTGAGGCAGTAATTGCTGCAAAAGGGGCCCAAACCAAGTACTGAGTACATATGCATGCTTATACTTTTCAGAGGTCCGATATTGTTCTATGTACAATCCTTGTTTTATTGATTGCATGTAATATTTCTAATTTTCTGAGATTGTGGATTTGGGGTTTTCAGGAGCTGTAAGCCATAATCATCACAATTATGACAAATCACGGCTTGAACTATCTTGCTTTGCATGTAATGAGTCTATCTCATATATTGGTTTCATCTTTTAAGTTGCATTACTGAAATAAATGAACTTTTGCACGATATTCTAATTTTTCGAGTTTCACCTGTATATGACAGCTGTTTTGCCTGCATGCAGCTGTATTTATCTGCATCCATTCCTGAGATTTACATAGCACTCTCATACAACAGAGCCAGACTGGTGACCTCTCATTACTGCAGTTAAGCAATGCAGATAGGTCTTCTTGCTGTCCCCAGGCTGTGGGCCCTCTCCTTACACCAGTGGCATCCCAAGGCAGGTGCGGGGGGCACGGCCCGCACTGGGTGACACCTACCGCATGGGGTGACACCGGACCCACTCCACGAAAAGGTAAGTTGTGAAGCAAGTCGACGACCCCCGCAGGATGGATCGGATCCATCCTGTGGGGATAATCGGCTTTCTTTACAGCTTACCTTTTCGTCGAGCGGGTCCGGTGTCACCCCGTATAGGTTGCATGCCGATGATCCCCGCAGGACGGATCGGATCTGCGGATTGGGGAGCATAATGCATAACTCCGATCCATTATGCTCAATCTGCAGATCCGAACCATCCTGCGGGGATCGTCGGCATGCAACCTATATGGGGTGACACCAGACCCACTCCACGAAAAGGTAAGCTGTAAAGAAAGCTGACGATCACTGCAGGATGGATCGGATCTGCGGATTGGGGAGCATAATGGATCAGAGATCAGAGATTCTGCGGGGAACGTTGGAGGGGGTGTCACCAAGTATTATCGCACCAGGTGACACCAACCCTAGGCACGCCCCACTCTTACACCGTTCTACTGCTGGCAAGCTTCTAGTTGAGAAGTGTATGCAGCCCACCTGACTGCCTCAGAGTACTGAAAATCCCTCTCCCAGTCCCTATTCTACTATACAGGGGATTATAGGAGGCTGACACCAAGGAAAACATCTTACACAATTTCCACTTAAATACAGGCATGCCTTGGTTTACGAACACCTCGGTTAACAAAGTTTTCGGTTTACGAATGAAAATCCATTGAAAATAATGCCTCAGTTTACAAATGTTTTTCACAATACGAACTGATTAATTGGTTTTCAATGCATTTACACATTTTTTAAAAATCATGTCGCTGTACAGTAATACCTTTAAAGTGCACTTTATAAAGAGTTTTGAACAGATAAGACTTGTTTTTACTTTTTTCTGACCTCTGGAACAAATTAATTGGTTTTCAATGCATTTACAAATTTTTTTCGCAATATGAACGGATTAATTGGTTTTTAATGCATTTACGAATTCATTTTTAATCATGTCCCTGTACAGTATTTATGCCTTTAAAGTGCACTTTATAAAGAGTTTTGAACAGATAAAATATTTTTTTTAACTTTTTTCTAACCTCCGGAACGGATTAATTGGTTTTCAATGCATTCCTATGGGAAACCGCGTTTCGTTTTATGAATTTTTTGCAATACGAAAAGTCCCGCAGTATGCATTGAATTTCGTAAACCAAGGTACGCCTGTAAAATACAGTTACTTTTTTATACGGTGCATTCATATTTGCATTAATTATTTTGTTATAGCTGTCTTGAGTTGACCTTTAAAGCTAAAGTCCAGGATACGTAGATATTGTCTAAATACAAGAGGCATGTGTGTTTTAACATAAATCATGTGGTGTTTTTTATGTATTTGTTCCAGATCAGTGCAGTAATATACTGTCAAGCTTTGCCACTTTGCAGAGTTTCCTGTA